TGCCGGATCGGCACCCGTGGTGGCGTGACTTTGATACACTCTTGTTGTGTGGTAGTGCTCAGACCAAAATCCCCCGTGAATCCTTGGGCTTTCTGCTGTGTCAAGTCAACATGCAGTACCTTTCAGAGCTATGATTAAGGCGATGAATTCATTGGAGCATACAGCTGGTTTTGACTAAGCACAATGGGACTACGATGGGTTTTTTTAAAAGCATTTTATAAACACTGTACAGAAATCTTTTGCAAAACCTGTGCATTGAGAAAAGGCTGTGTCCAATTTTTGCAGTATCTGTAAACTAGATGATGATGATGAAGACATTTTTTTCTATCACAGGTTTTCAGTATACATATATTGTATCATATATATAAATATATATATATAAAGGATCCTGTTCCATTTCTAGCTTCAGAATTGCTTGGCCCAAAGTCCATCTAAGCCTTTTGGAGTGCAGTAGGAGTGGTGAGTTCATCGTTGTGCTTACAGCTCAAAAATCGTTTTCAGTGTTTAAAGTATGTCATTTGTTTCATTTCCAAACTTGTAAATATCTCTCAGCTGCCGTTAGCACCTCATCACCAAAGCATTTGTGAGGATATTTTTACATCCAAAGCCTAATTTGTAATAAAATAAAAAATATTCACAATTAAAACATTTATCTCTTGCAAGCCAAGTTGCAACATCATCATATTGATGTTACAGTGACAGAGCCAGCCTTAAGTGTAACCAACACAGGGAGTCTGCAGTGACAAATCTGCAGCTCTTAGGCTGGCCAAATCTTCCTCTCTAGCAGTGGGACTGGGAAGGGAAACACCTTCCCAGCTGGGGCTTCCCCATCCTGATGTCTCACCATAAAACTCTACAGACTTGTAGGGTGACGATCAAAGAGGTTTTCCCCCCCTCCCCCCACAGCATGCAAGGACTTTGTCTTGGTGCTGAGTGCCATTGCTGTGCCTGTAATGGGAAATGTCAGTTGTTACCAAAGGTTGTCCTAAGGAAAAGGGCTTGATCTGACCATGTGTGCTCAGTATAGAGTCTCTTGTAAGGGCAAGAGTCAAATTTAATTTACCATCCAAGCAACTGCACTGTGAGCCTCCAATATATCTGCAGGAGCAAAAGCTGTCTCTGCCAGCAGGGGGTGGAGATACTCTGCAAGTACTGTTAAATTCTCAGGGCTCTGCTTGCCCTTTGTTTGATCCACCTCCAAGCTCAGTTTCATGGCAGGTAGGAGACCTGGCCCTTCTCTATCAGTACGCTGGAGTGGTCAGTATTTTGCTCGTGGAGAAGAAAGGCGGCACAGCAAAAAAAACCCAAAACCAACCAACATTCAGTGCCACATGCATGCAATGCAAGAACAGACCTTGAGGTCAGGGAGCCAGTCAGAAGGGTAAGCCCGGGTGCCTGAGCTGAGTCAGAAGTGGTGTACGAGGTTGTGTGGCTGATGGAGAGAGATCTAATACAGGGGGAAGTTGTGAAAAGGCTTGAAAGAGATGGTTTTCACAGAAGGCTAAACCTTCTGGGTCAGCTAGAACCTCTCTCAGTTCCCCTCTGTAGTGCAGCTGCTAATTTTCTAAGCAATCCAGCAACTCCTCTTCGACAAAGGCCAGACTCTCATCCTGAGCAAGAGTGTGACGTATGAGATTTCTTAGCAACTGAAACTACTTCAGACAGCAGTCATCAAGGGGTATCTTTAATCGGCACCAGCCTCAGGTACCTTTTCACTACAGGACTGTTTGTACTGCTTCTTATTTGTCAAAGCTGGCTCTTCATGCTGTGATAGTGCTGCCCTTAAAAAAATATTTATGGAAGTGTGGTTTATAAAACCCACAGCTTTTATTAGGCCTGCGGGTACAGTTTAAGCCACAGTCTTTCTGCTTGGCATTAATACAAACAAATTCTCATGTATCACATGAAACCTGGAGTTATTGATCATTTTGTTTTCCTACCTCCTGCATTAGCGTCTCAAACTGCAACAGCAGACGCTTTGGATGCATGGGGGGGGAAAAAGCTGGATTGTTTAAGGGGATATTTAAGCCTCTCATTGCTATCAAATAACAGAAAAAAAAAACCAAAAGGCTGGAAGAGGATACATGTTCAGGTATTGGTGCTCAGATTCAAAAAAGAGATTCCTTGACAAGGGAGAGCTGGAGGTGCTGAACTCGGAATTCCAATTTTAAATGTTACAGAGTTCCTTTTCCTCTATGGTTCTGCTTTTTCTATACTCATGTTAAGAGAACTCTTCCTGGGCACTGCTCTTCTTAGAGTACATTGAGGAAAACTTGAACCTCTCAGTACTTCCAGATATGTTTGCGATTATCAACCATTCTTGCATTTTATCTCAAAGATTTCTTTTGCCTGAATAACATCACGTTGACATGAAACGCTGCTGTATGATAAATACAGAGGAAGTATTCTGACCTTGCTCTCTTGAGGTCTCTTTCAGCCAGCCTGTGGCTTCACTGCAGACCCAACAGGTCCTGTAACTCTGTTGTAAAGAGGTTACAGAAGCTCAGTAAGGAGACCTGGAGTGAACTCACTGAGAGAGAAGCCCCACAGCCAACTCCCTTTATACCACAGCCAACCCCCTTTGCAGCATTCTTCAACTACTGGATTTTTTTATGCATGAAATATTGCCTGTTATAAACATGGGGAAACACAGTTTCTCATAAAGCTCTGTAAGCTCACAAAGCTGAGCAGCTGACTCCGAGGGGAAGATTTCCACCTGCAGCTTTAGCACTCAGGGTATTCCCAAGACAGTCGAGTGAGGTGCAATGGTAGCTGCACCCTGCAGTTTCTGCAGCAGCTTTAGAGCAACTAGAATGACCAACAGTAATGCTAGCAATGAAGCAGCACAGGCTCGGTGCAGACTAGCACTACATACATAGCCACCAGCTTCAGACATCTTCGCGGTGGTCTTACCCTGCACTGACATCAAAGTACACTTGCTCACAGCATCACCCCAGCGCTGGGCTGGGTGACAGGCCTGCAGGAAGGCAGCAGCAAGGGCACCAGCGAAACAGAGCTGGAGGGCACAGTGACATGTGGCGCTCATTATTTAAGACGGCCACGATTAAGGAATGCGCAGGGCAACAAGAAACTAACTCGCCTTTCTCCCTACTTGGAGCAGCCAGGCCAGATGGTTTCACTCTTAGCCATCAAATAGGAGATCTGATCACCCCTGTAACACTGTCAGCTCCCATCAGGTGTCCAAAGCACATGCTGCCCTGTGGGCAATCCCCACCTCTCCACCAAGCCCCCTATGTGTGCTACTACAGGGGTGACACACAGCAAGTTCAGGGTTTTAGACTTTAATATTTTAAAGCAATCCAGGCTTTAAAATTTATACAATTTCTCTCTTCCGACTTGTACCAACATCTTGTCTAGTCTTACTGCCCTTTTTCTTTTTAAATTACTCTATTTTTCTGTCAGTAACATTTACCTTTAAAAGCATTTTACTTTTAAACTAATGCTGAGACAAAGTCTGTGCCCTCAACTGACCTGTGTAAGTTCTGTGGCCTCACTGGAGTTCAGTAGCATGTCTGACGATGCTATTAGGCCTTTGTTAGATACCATGAATAAAGGCTAAATGCAGAACCGCACATTATGATCTGACTATATATAACCATTTTTTAATACCCTTGCAATGAGGGGATTGCATCAAGTGACCTGGGATAATATAAACTTCCAAGACAGATGTAAATGCTAGGCTGTATATACAAACGTCTAACATAATTAACGCACACAGGGGCTAACCACCTGGTTTTGTTTCTGTTCCTTTCACTGCAGAGGTAGATTCTCCTCTAACACAGGGCTTGGATTTAATTTCCAGCTCATTCTTTCATGTCGCATCAGAAAATGGTGCTTTCCCAAGGAAACAAAATAAAGTCCCATTTTATTAGGCTGACTGCACACTGCCATCAAGTGATGAATTCTCGTTCTGGGATCTGTATAGTGGTGAGTGTTACCATAGCGTCAGGATGCTGAATATTTGCTGTAACTGTAGTCTTTATTATGGAGCTAGTGAAAAAACAACATCTCTACTCAAGCCATATCTCACCTTCATGTCCAACTTCTGATGCTGGTGCTTTTACCTCTCTTTCTACCAAACCGTTCAGCGTTGCTCTGCCACTGAGGTCAATTTGCTGATAACTTTTTGAAGGCAAATGCAATAGAAAGTGCAAAAAAAATATAATTAAATCTCAGACTTATTCACTGAAATGAGAGCAAACAGTTGGAATATATTGATGATTTTTCAATCTTTGCAACAATCAACTGAAGGAGGAAAAAAGAAACAGTATTGCTAACAGCTCAGCATTTTCAAGGTGCAAAGTAATTCCACAGCCTTAATTATTTCAGTGTATTGCTGGTCTGCCTTAAATGTATCTTCAGTTTTATTGCAGATTTCATTTTGTATGCACACAATGTTGTTTTGTAAAGGTAAGTTTGTAAATATTTTCCTTTGTAAGTCTAATCACTCATGTGTACTGTTGTGAGGTGATTACTTGCTGTCCCATGTTGTTATTACTATTCTGCAGTATATATGATCATCTACAGCTGTACCTTCAAACTGTACATCTGTCCTTGCATCCCTATAAATAGAGTATACTAATGACGCGGTTTCTGGGCTTTTTTGATTAAATACGATTGTTCAGAGAAGAACGGGTCAGTCTTATTTCACACGTACAGCAATCTTCCCGAGGCCTTGAGGCCTCAAGAGCTCACTGATGGCTTTATTTGCCTCATCCTTCCCCGAGGGATGTTCACAGGACACCAGAGCAAGGGACCATCGCTCCCACCAGCTCTTTGCCTCGCGTAGGTCAACCCAGAAACCAAGCAGGCTTTGGGGAGCCACCCCGAGCACAGAGTCTCGGGTCACAGCAAACCCTCCCTGCAGGTTTCTGCTTCCTTGTGGAAAGATACGCCGCCGGGGGAGAGGGGGTGGGCCGGGGAAGACCTTCAACGCCTCCCCCGTGCGGGGTCCGCTCTCGCGTGGGGTCGGGCCCGGGATGGCGCGGGCTGGGCCTCAGGCCGCGGGGCGCTGGGCTCTCTGCCGTGCGGGGCTGAGCTCCACAGCGGGAAGGGAGCCCCGGGACCGCGTGGGGCCGGGCCCCGCGGGGATCGGTCCCGCCGGCGCCCGCAGCATCCCACGCC